TATCTTTATCTGTGCTAAATATTTTGTGATATAGTTTATGTTGGCTAAACTTGACTTTTTGGTGAAGATTAATTGTATCAGCATAATTAAAACTTGCTTGCAAGCACTCCATGTTAGGTTGTTTATAAAGTAAAATCATAAATTAAAATGTAAAAAAACATAATAAAAATAAATATAAAACAGTTTCCAAGGTAAAAGAAAAACAATTATGACTAAAAAATAAAATCACTAAATTATCACTAAAATAAATAAATAAATAAATAAACAAACAAATAAATAAATAAATAAATAAATAAAATCATGAAATAAAATTATTAAAACATAATAAAATTATATAATAAAGTTTCCATAGTCATGACTACATATCAAGACTAAAATAAAATCACTAAATTATGACTAAAATAAATAAATAAATAAATAAATAAATAAATAAATATTATTCGGATAAAATAAAATCATGAAATAAAATGATTAAAACATAATACAATTATATAATAATGTTTCCATGGTCATGACTACATATCAAGACTAAAATAAAATCACTAAATTATGACTAAAATAAATAAATGTAATCTGGATTATAATTATTAAAATAAAAGAAAATAATATAAAATAAATGCTTACAAATAATTACGAATCATTATAAATAAAATTAATAATACTAAATATATTAAATATATAATTAAAAATATATGTAATATAATTTCCAGGGTACATAACTTCATACCAAGATTAAAATAAAAATCATGATTAAAATAATAAATAAAATAAATAAACAAACAAATAAATAAATGAAATAAATAAAATGTAAATTAAAATAAAAAATATAAATGAAATTAAATTAAATAAAAAACTAAATCAAATTAAATAAATAAAATTAAATAAAATTGTAATTAATAATTACAAATCATTACAAATAAAATTAATAGTAATAATATGTTTCCAAACAGGGTATTATGCTGACATAAAATAATAAAAAGGGAAGTGTGAGGAGAGAGGCTGTGCAAGAGCATAAAAATAAACCTTGTCCAGACACCCGCCACCACCCAGTAATGGTTTATATTACTCCACGTGATGTTAGGACTTTATATTTACCACTGTGTATATGCTCAGACCACACAGACCCACAAACATCAGTAGATAGATTTCTCAAATCCAAAACAAGAACATTACGTGCCAAACACACTCAGTATACAGAGCTTTTCACAATACTCATTGAGCCAAAGCAGATTTACTGCCACGAAATCCAACAAAGGCGCTTATTAAATAGAAAAAAAGATTAAATAGCTGTTTGTACCTCTGCTAATATATGAGAGCGTCTAATGAAGTCTCTGAAAGTATCACAAACCTGCAGATGGGGGACTTCCAGCTCTTTGATGTAGTGGTTTGTAGGAGTGCAAACCATGTCAATAGGTGAAAAGCTGATGTGATGGAAAAATCTGGTGGAAAACTTTACATCAAAGGCCAGTTTAGGAGTTTGGGGTTTTTAGTTTCGAGGATTCTGCAACAAAACAACAATTAATGGTTCACTGTAAATAATAATAATAAAAAATAAAGTTCCAGCTTAATTTTGTTTTGTTAAATCAAACGAAATTTTCTAGAAATTTTCAACTTACAGTGGTGGTCAGAATTATTAGCCCCCCCTGTATATTTTCTCTCCAATTTCTGTTTCTAAACATTTTCTAAACATAAAAGTTTTAATAACTCATTTCTAATTACTGATTTCTTTTATCTTTGCCATGATGACAGTACGTAATATTTCATGGTTCAGGATTGGTAGAGCTACGCATCGATGAATTTGCTCTTCAGTGTTTGAACTCTCAGTAATGATTAAATCACACTGAACTGAGCTAAACTGAACTGTACTGAACTTAAACACTAAAAACTGAACTACACTGTTCCAGTTACTATGACCATTTATGTGAAGCTGCTTTGACACAATCTACATTGTAAAAGCGCTATACAAATAAAGCTGAATTCAATTGAACTAGACATTTTCAAGAGACTTTAGCTAAAAATAACTTTGAGTTTTGTTTGTAAATAGTGTAACAGCAATACTAAAAAAAAAGTTTAACCATACTATATTGATTACATTTTTTTTTTTTTTTTTTGACGTAACTATTAGATTTCAAGCTAATTTAAACTATTTGGGAACAAGAAGTTATAAAGTTAGTTGCTTTAAAAAAGATTAAAGGTATTTTTTATTGCAATGAAGACTATACAGTGTTATTTTACATTTAATTGCATGGTTATTTTACATTTGAGCTCAATAGAATATTCAAAAAAAGCATTGTCTATTGTATTTGTATATTTGTTCTATTGTATTCGTTTATGCTTGTAATTTGCTTGTCATATTTTCTACAAAATTATCACAATGCAATATTATGAATTCTTTCCTTACAGTTATTTAAATCAATCTTTTGAAATCCCATTTTAAGAGTTAAATTTTCATTCAAAAAATGAAGATCAGGGATTAATGTTATTCGTGATATTTACAGTGAGTTTGGACTGATCCGATTGGCTTATTAATGATTACAGATGAGAGACCAGTCACGATCAGTCATATCATGTGCTCCTCTCGAAATTAGTTTGTGAAACTTCACTTAATACAGCAATATATGTACTGTAGCAGAAAAACAAATTTTTGCAATGTCAGTTTTTTTGCAATATCGTGCAGCAAAAAACACACAAATTTAGCCCATATAAATTATATGCAACCACTTACCCTTACAACATGAGCAAATCCAATTAATTTCAGTGTACATGGTATGGTTTTGTACTTTAACCATCTGGAAAAGTGAGTGCCAGCGTCAGTGCACTTATTGTTAAAAAAACTAATATCTTGGATGATAAGTCATGCACACTTCTAGTCAGAAGTGTTTATTTGACTGGACTACAAAAACACCTTACTCTGCAAAATCCCAGTGACTCGCTGTAAGAAAAGGAGTGATGGACTTTACATGCTGTTGTTTTTATAATGACAAAATGGTCTGTTCTCAGCCTGAAAAGCCGACTAAGCAGATGGGAGAATGAGAGAGTGCTTACTACTTCCGCAGCTCATCAATGTCAGTCATCTGTGTCACTCATTGACAGAAACTCTTTCCCGAAACTGAGTGGGATGCAATGCACACCCCTTATATCTGCACTCTTTTACACACTCCCCTTTTCAGTTTCACAAGAATGTCTGTGGCTATGAAAGGAATGTGGTGAATACAGTAAGTTAATCACATTCCCAGCATTCCTTTAGGTTTTGTAATAAATTGCAGAATTTTAAATACTTTTAGCACGTGATAATTAAGAGACCAGCTAGTTGTTAGGTAAAAAAGTAGTATCTTTTAGTAGAAGAGTGAAAAGAGAATAGAGCTGGAACTGGAGACGGTTTCTAAACTGCTTTTTTTTTTGGATATTATCTTTAATGTATAGTGTGTAATGCATGTTTGAGAATGTAAAAGCAAAAATTGGCAAAGTTGTAAAGATTAAAGCACACAGTACATTTACTTTTGTTTTTTATTTGTCCATTATTTAATGAAGTCTCATTGCAATGTAAAATCTTACCATTTTAAAACCAACAGAGGCTTATTCTGAAAACGTAGCCTGAGATTGTTCCTTTTCGTGCTTACAACCTGACCACTTACCTTTGTATGGATGGCTTTTCTGTTGTTACCAGTTTGTCCAGTGGCTCGCTGCGTATGTCGGTGACTTCAGGTGCAGAGAGGAGTTGACCACGACGACAGGGTGTCTGGCAAAGAAAGGTTGCAGAAAGCAGGTAAGACAAATACAGAATCCAAAAAAAAGAAAAAAAAAAAAGAAAATAAATTAATAACAAGGTGAGAATGTGGTGACATCTGAAAATGTGGTAAAAGTCAGATGAGGGGTTTTCTTTTTCTGGGTTGCTTTTTAAAACTCATTCATTCATTCATTCATTCATTCATTCATTCATTCATTTATTCATTTTCTTTTTGGCTTAGTCCCTTTATTAATTCGGGGTCGCCACAGCGGAATGAACCACCAACTTATCCAGTATGTTTTTATGCAGCAGATGCCCTTCCAGCAGCAACCCATCTCTGGGAAATATCCACACACACTCATTCACACTCATACACTACGGACAATTTGGCTTACCCAACTCACCTGTACCGCATGTCTTTGGACTGTGGGGGAAACCGGAGCACCCAGAGGAAACCCACACGAACGCAGGGAGAAATTGCAAACTCCACACAGAAACGGCAACTGACCCAGTCGAGGCTCAAACCAGGGACCTTTTTGCTGTGAGGCAACAGCACTACCTACTGCGCCACAGCGACGCCTGCTTTTTAAAACTGACGGTTTGATTTAGGGAAGGGGGTGGGTGCTGCTAAATCTGTGCTTTTGAAAACACTATTGGCTGGGTTTAGGGAAGGAGAAGGGTGGGTGGGTAGAGAAAAAGGAGGAAAGACAGAGTAGACCGAGAAAGGGGAGAGAAAAAAAAAATTGGGGGTCGGTTCTCCAGACGCGCTGCCACTCAGTCCTTCACCAGCTGAGAGATGCGAAGACGTGTTGGGAGCCCTGAGGAGGAATCTATCAACCTGTACATCTTCTGTTGTCCAGCAGCGGTTCTCCTGGCTGGCTGGCGACATCTTTGGTCTCCTGCTCCACTCCTGCTTCGATGGACGAATGCAGGCTACGGCATCATAGCAGATTGCGGCGACTCCCCCGGGTTCTGTGGGATGGCTCCCTTCAGCGCTTTTACCTGCTCCTGCTCCTGCTCCTCCCCTGCTCCTCCCCATGCTGGGAGACGGCAGCAGGCAGATCTTTTCCTCGCCAGCCTCAGGCCGCCCGGCACTCTGGGTAGATGAACGGGTTTCTCCCCTACTCGGGCTAACTCCCGAACACTCGTCCCCTCTCAGCGGCGAGGGCAACTGGACAACGTGTCCCTCCTTCTCCCGGGTTTTGGCATCACTGTAAGGAAGTTTACGGCCCTTTGGCCGCCGGGAAGGAGGAGGCGGAGAACCAATGCAGTTTTAAAATATTTATTAACAGAGAGTCTCTGTCTCACGGAGACTGCCATCTAAACCAAGACATACGGACGAAAGCAAACTGTCAACGAAAGTCAAACTGAAAGCAAAAGTAAAACATTATGTCCGGGTCGGTCCTCTCTCGGCTTCCTCTGGCATCGTTTCTCCTCTCATAGTCCAGAGCTCCTTCCGTGGTATTCGAGGCCGGTGCGCTCCACAGGTGTATTCACTTACGCGGCGGCCTCATTCCGTTCCCACGGACTCGGCCCTGCCTTCTCACCACAGAACCATTTCAGACACTGTAAGAAATGTAAGAAAAATACTTATTACTAGTACTAAAATACTAGTATTCTTAGAGCTTGGGTAGATGTAAACATATTGTAGGGGACCTCCTAAATAAGATGAAGAACTTTTAAAATAGCATAACAGAGCCACTTTAATGAGTTGTGACAATTTGGGGCTTAAGGGAGTATAAAAGTAGGGATATACACTGCATGTACATTCAGTTACATGCATTTAGTGACAAGGAAAGCAACATTTGAACTAAATCCTGCTGCTGCATTGTTCAGTAAAGTTTCCGACACTGCTGATGTGGAGAGACAGAGGGAGACTGTTTTAAAGTAAATCGCCATCACTTCCTTCCTGTTTCCTTTCATTCAGATTTCCTGTGAACTTTGTCGACAAATAAGTCATGATTTGATTCACAGGGACCCTGTGCAGTGTTCACCGCTTCCTTACACAGCGGGCAGAAGATAAGTCTCTTATGCTTATGTGTACCATAAAAGTGTGAAACAAATCTAATATTGAAAATAATTATATATGAGGAAATCAGTATTGTAACATATAATTACTCCTATGATTAAAAGAGTTTTCTTTTTTTCAATACTCATTGTCGCAATACCTAGAAATTATTGTAATATTATGATTTGGTGTTCGAGAAAGACTGGAAGGTTAAAGTGTACATAAAAGTAATTGTGACTGATTCAGAGGGAAAAAAAGGCAAAATATACCCACTAACAAAACTAAAACTTTAAACTTTAAATGATAGATGAAATTATCTTTTTCTTAAAACAGTGAATTTTCATCCTATAATTCTGACCTCATTCGTGCACTCTGGATTTTATCACTGACAATTTTGAGTTAATATCTCCCAATTCTGACTCCTAAGTTAAGAAACTGACTTCACTTCTCAAAACTGCTCATTTATAGACTTCATTCCTTTTAGTTGTGACGTTTTTTCCAGAGTTCTGCAAGACATAAAATTGCATTTACCGGTGAGTTTATCTGTGAGATACTAAGTTGCATTTTTGACAAAAAAAAAGGGTCAGAATTGTGAGAAAGTAACCCTGCAATTAAGTTTTTAAACTCTAATTGTAAGATTTAATAATAATAACTCATTCATTCATTCATTCAGATTATTCAATTCACCTATAGCGCATGTCTTTGGACTGTGGGGGAAACCAGAGCACCCAAAGGAAACCCACGGCAATAGAAATGCCAACTGACCCAGTCGGGGTCTGAACCAGCAACCTTCTTGCTGTCAGGTGACAGTGCAAACCACTAAGCCACCGTGCCATCCCTAATAATAATAATAATAATAATAATAATAATAATAATAATAATAATAATAATAATAATAATAATAATACATTTTATTTGTATAGCACTTTTCCTACATGCATGCAACTCAAAGCACTTCACAAACATAAATCATTACTAGGAAACAACATCAATATTAGGTAAAATATATAAAAATGAAAAAACAAAATGCAAAAAAAATGTACATTTACATGGTAAGTCAACGCAAAGATGTGATTAGACATCTTGCAGCGTGATTCACATGAATAAAGCGGCACGAATTCGTGAGTTGAGCGTTTTGCGCATTTGATTCGCTTAACACGCGCATAGAGTGGATTGCTTGAGTTGGAAAATCTGAACTTCAGGGTACATTCACGCTACATTAACTAATCAGGAGCTTGCTCTTGTAGGGCCATGATTATGATGCACCTATGGTTGGTGTCTCGAGGGGAAATCCTTTTGCAGAAACCAGACAACAGTTCATCAAACTGAGCTTGGGTCAGTCTGAAGCGCCGCTGAAAGCTTCCATCATCCAGATATAGCTTCTGGAGGTGTTGATGAGCTCACAGAGCTGGTTGCACCTCTGAAATCAGGATTTAGTGGACTTAGACATGGCGCCGAATGAATCAATGCTGTTTTTTTGCCTTCCTAAAGCACATAAAGCACAGCTACTATCTCAATAAAATCCATGTTAACCATTTAGCAACAAAGCTACAGTCTTCGGGCAAACCGAAGCCCTGCACATGACGTGAATCCACGTCTATTGAGAATTTAATTTGACTCGCAAATGAAGTGAGTAAACTCAAAATGTACATGCATCTATTTAAGTGCCAATATCACGATTTATTTGCATGTGCCGCGTCGGGTGTGAATACAGCAGACAAAGAGAACAAAATAGACAACAAAGTAAAAGAAAATTAATAAAAAGTCAAATTTAAGTAACAAAAATTTAGTAGAAATCGATAGAAACAATCACTTTTAATTGTAAAAGAAACATTAAATGTGAAAATTTAAGTATAATATAATATAACATAATAAAATATAATATAATATAATTGATATAATATAATATAATATAATATAATATAATATAATATAATATAATATAATATAGTATAAAATAATATAATATAATATAATATAATATAAAATAATATAATATAATATAATATAATATAATATAATATAATATAATATAATATAATATAATATAATATAAAATAATATAATAAAAAATAATATAATATAAAATAATTAATAGACCAGAATATAATATAAAATAATATAATATAATATAATATAATATAATATAATATAATATAATATAATATAATATAATATAATATAATATAACTGTGACATTGTATCAATCTAAAACATTATTTTCAAATAAAAAACATTAATTTCTTAAAACACAATCTACTGGCCTCTTTATTTCCTCGTAGGATGGACATTACAATGAAGATCACTTCCTTTATTTTCATGATTTTCTTTGTCACTTGCATAAAAACAGCACAAACAAAAACACACACGAGCCCTTTTGTTGTTTCCACAATGAAAGCACAAGTTATTTGGCTTAAATGTGAAAAAAAAAGCCTCCAGTCCTGCTGCAACTTGACTGATGCCTCAAACCCGACATAAACAAACTCTAATTCATTCTGCGTGACAGTTTTGATCCTTTGCTGTTTTGCAGAACTGCCTCAAGTCAGTTTGCAACCGGTTTGTCGCCTTAAATAATACCAGCGTGCATGGGAACACAGCCTCGAAGCGCAGCACGGTGTGATATCAGTGCTATGCGGTATTTCAGGTAAGACATGTGGCCGCAGACTGCTGCAGAATGTGCCAAAAGTTCAATCGTGCACAACAACAACAAGATACAGTATGTGCTTTTTTGCAGTACAGTAAATGAGAAGGTACAAACTGTATTATATTTCATTTGGGGGGAAATTATAAGTGTTTATATGGCCTAGAGAAAAAATGTGTTATGCTACAGATTGAGGGCTGGACTCTTCACTTCACATGAACTTGTGAAATCTCAGGGAGGAATTTTACATTTGGGAGGAGCTTTACATTCCTGTGAAGTTCAAGAGAATTTGATCACACTGCAAATGGGAAAAAAAAGGTCTGATTAAATCAGAATGACATTTTAATTTGTTTATCATATGCTGAGAAAGTCGTATCTACTATGCTCTATTTCAGTGTTTCTCAACCCTGTTTCTATAGGCACACCAACAGTACACAACCTTCAACTTTATCCTAATTAAACACACCTAAACCAACACATTTGAACATTAGAAGAGACTCAAACCCTGAAATGAATGGGTCAGATAACGGAGACATCCAAAATGCATACTGTTGGTGTGCCAACTTATCCAGCATATGTTTTACGCTGCAGATCCAACTGCAACCCATCATTGGGAAACATCCATACAATGTCATTAACACACACACACACATACTATGGACAATTTAGCTTACCCAGTTCACCTATAGCACATGTCTTTGGACTTGTGGGGGAAACAGGAGCACCTGGGGGAAACCATGGATCAATGGGTGAAAAAAAGAAAGCATGGATCCATCCTGCCTTGTATAAACAATTCAGGCTGGTGGTGATGGTGTAATGGTGGTAATGCGTGATGCTATTATGTCACTATGGACCAAAATCTCTGAGGAATATTTCCAGAACCTTGTTGAATCTATGCCACAAAGGGTTAAGGCAGTTTTGAAGGCAAAAAGGGGTCCAACCCGGTACCAGTAAGGTGTACCTAATAAAGTGGCTGGTGAGTGTATCTGAAAAGCACCTTTTTTGTTGTTATTTTATGCAAACACAAAATACTCTAAATGACAAAATTTTTATGTTAATAAGTAGTTTACTTATAAATGAATTGTAAATCTAAAAAAAAAACATGGTCTTTGTTTTCAATACAGTGTATTAAATGATTTTTGTTTATTATTTTTATTAAACAAAAAATATTAAAACATGAATAATTGTTTAAGAGATAACTTATATTGATTACATATTATATATATATTATTTACATAATGCTTTCAGCGTATTATAACAGCTTGTCACAGTTATTTGGCAAAACTAATGTTAAAGTGAGCGGCGTCCGTCTGACAGGTCCATTTGCGATAGCACCCTCCCAATGGATATTGGATATAGATGAAATGGCCAAGCATTCAGCCCCAGTTATACAACTATCTCATTGAAACTCCAAGTGATTTTACGAGAGAAAAGTTAAAGGCTTTAAAAACTGAGGTTCTGCCTAGCCAAAGACAAGGAAAGAAGACAAACCTATAAGGCCTGGGTAATCATCAACAAGCAAAACAATTGTATTCTAAGAGAGAACTGCACCTGTATGGCAGGGTATGTGAACTTAGATTTGTACATTTCATTCTAAGCATTCAATGTCCGCAGTTTAATTCACCATATTTAACTGTTTTTTTTTTTTTTTTTTTGCTGAAATCATTGCTGCAATCAAAAACAAGTAATGTGTATGATTCAGAATAGCGTGAACTACCTGATATGTAATGAAAACTGCAGTCCAGCATTTTTAATAGGTCGTCTCTCCATTCAGCTCTTATGATGGCTGTTAGCCAAAGACGCCGGCGGTTGGCATTAAAAGCAGTGTGGTGTACGGTAAAATTTAAGTTTTCTATTTTTGGACTTTCAATTTTTGCATTCTACCACACAACAACACATGTTTGCTATTGCAACCGT